CACCACAACCTCTGCGTCCTGGGCTCAAGCCATCTTCACACTTCAGCTTCCCAAGTAGCTAGGACTAGAGATGTATGCCACTACATCTGGCTAATTTTTATATTTTTTGTAGAGACAGGTTTCACCATGATGCCCAGGCTGGTCTCCAACTCCTGAACTTAAGCGATCCACCCGCCTCAGCCTCCCAAATTGTTGGGATTACAGGCGTGAATCACCGTGCCCAGCCCACTCTTATTCTTTATGTAAAGCTGAAGTCATAGCACAGGAGAAATAGAATTTATTCTTTTGTAAATCTCAAAGATAATTATATGAAAAGAAATTGTTGTTTGCAAACCTAAGAAGTGAAACTGGGTCCAGTAGTTACTTGTTATAGAGAGGCCAATTTTAGACTGAAAAATAGAAGCCGAACACCTCACAAAAGATGAGATTTTTTAAAGTTAGGCTCTCAACCTGTGGATATGTTAGAGGTGTTTCTTGTAATGAACTTTCTCATGCACTCACAGGTTATTGAAGCAGATATTCAAATATCAGCTGAGTGGTTGAGTTAGATACCTTTTGATTTCTCTGCCAACACTCAGATTCCATTCATTGGCTATTCAGTAGTGGTGATGTTTTTTAATTGACCCATCCATACTCTCCAATGTCTGGCCCTGGGCAGAATTATAAAGTAAGATGCTGGTATTCCTCTAGTCCCCAGAACCAAGTGTATCGGTCCTGGCACTATTGATATTTGGGCCAGATCATTCTTTTTTATGGAAGACTGTTTGGTGCATTGTAGAATGCTAAGCAGCAACCTTGGGCCCTGCCTACTTGATGTTGATAGCACCCCTCCCTCCAGTTGTGACAACTAAAAATATCTCTACACATTGCCAGATGTCTGCTGGGATGCAAAATTATTTCTTTCTTTGAAAAACAATGCCTTTAAATGATATCATAAGAAAGGTTTTAAGAACTTAATGTCAAATTTCTCAAGATCCTTGTATTTAAAAAGACCTACAAAGACCTATCGGGACAGCACATCCAAAATCTGAATTCCTGCCCTAGCTTTTGCCCCCTACTCCTCTTTTCTGAATTTTCTGTCTTGCATTATTGCAACCACATCAGGCCAATCTGGTTCAACTTTGATGTAACAAAGTTGTGAGTTATTTCTTAGTTGCCATGGACCCCAGGTTGAAAGTCATGTAACCTGAGCATGCACAGATGAACACATGTGCTACCACATGGGAAACCTGAGTGCTCAGACCAAGAAGGGTTGGGGAGACTAAATTGAGAAGCAGATACCGCATAGCAGGATCCAGAATCCAATCAGATGAGCTCTAGCATCACCTCATGGCAGGATCCAGTCATATCATGCCTTCTGGCATCATCTCATTGCAAAATGCAATCAGATCACACCTCATTACCCTGTGTTTATAAAACCCAACCCCCGGCTCAGAGATACAGGTTTGAGCATTTCCTCCTATCTCCTTGGCAGTTGAATCATGCTGCTTCCCTGCTTAAAAGCTCTTCAGTCCTCCGCACCACCCACAAGATTAGGTCCAAGCCTTTTTAAATGATGCATGGACCTCTGTGATTTGGCTCCTGCCCACTCTTCCAGCATCATCTCCCATGGCCCCTCTCTTGCATTTCACAATTCAGTGATAGCAGTTTGAGGGAGGTGGCATTGATATTTTTTTCATTACCAGAGCTTTCTATTTCATCTGTTATTTCAGTCTCAGAGTACGTTCAGCATAGTACTACATTAGGACATCATACAACGGCATCAGTATCACTTCCCAACTCTGTTAACTCTTCCAATGAAGACACACAAGGACACCAATGATCTTTCAACATACCTGGCAATGTTAAAGTTTTATGTTGACATTGAGAACATCTCACTGGTGTTAAAAACTTGAGCTCTTTAAGTGTTTGTTTAATCAAATTGCACCTTCTTTTTTTTTACACTTTGCAAGTTTGGCATAGTAAATACATTATATTAATTAAGCAGCTTGCCCTAGTTTCCTGTATTGGGGATTTTAACATTATCAGTTGGATCTTTTGTTTTGTTATCTGCTGTTTTTCAGAATCTTGAAGTAGCACATTTCCACGATGTCTGTTCCTTTCCATATCTGTGGAAGCATAAAAAAAATATATCTATTCCCCATTTCTGGTTTTCCTTACAGTTGTGTCTTCAGCGTTGACCTTTTGGACTTGTTCCTTGGTTGCACAAGCCTCAGTATTTTCTCTAAAACTGACATTTTCTTAATTCTTTATTGTTAGAATATCTACAATTGTGTATCGCATCTCTTCAATAGGCTGAGCCCATGACAGAATGGTCTTCTCGTAAATTACAAGAATAATTTTTTTTTTTTTTTTTTGAGACAGAGTTTCGCTGTTGTTACCCAGACTGGAGTGCAATGGCACAATCTCAGCTCACCGCAACCTCTGCCTTCTGGGTTCAAGCAATTCTCCTGCCTCAGCCTCTCAAGTAGCTGGGACTACAGGCGTGCACCACCATGCCCAGCTAATTTTTGTATTTTTAGTAGAGACGGGGTTTCACCTTGTTGACCAGGATGGTCTTGATCTCTTGACCTCGTGATCCACCCACCTAAGCCTCCCAAAGTTCTGGGATTACGGGCTTGAGCCACCGCGCCCAGCAAGAACACTTTCAATAGGACTTGGTGTTGGTTCAGTGTGTGTAATACATATTCAGTATTTTATAAGATTTTTGGCATCTGGAATATTTTTAATCAGATCTTTCAGTGTGACAAATATTTCTTCTTCTGGGCATCCCTCATTAATTAGGTTTAGGCATTCAGAAAATGTGTTGCTTGCCTTTTCAGTAAATAGTTTTTGTTCATTTTCTGCCATGGTAGTCCAAAAGGACCCAAATGGTTTTTCATTTATTTTGTCCTTAAGACTCACACTAGGTGACTATTGAGTTAGGAGGGCTTTTCAGCACTGTTTCTTTGCCAGCTTTCCACTCATTCAGATGAGCTTTTCTCTCTTCTGAATTTTCTCTGGATTGAGTTGATCTACTATCAGCAGTTGGTTTTGCTATTGTATGTCTTCACTGGTCAATAGGTTTTGATATTTCTGTCAGTTTGGCATTAGAAGATGAAACAGGAATTGGGGGCAGTGGGTCACACCTGTAATCCCATGACTTTGGGAAGCTAAGTTAGGAGGATCCCTTGAGGCTGGGAGTTCATGACCAGCCTGGACAATGTAATAAGACCCTGTCTCTAAAAAAATAAATTTAAAAAAAAATAAGATGAAGCAGGCCTGGCTACAATTTTACATTCTATGCTCCTTTTTTTTTTTTTTTTTCTTTTTAAAACTTTCTTTATTTTGGCAACCTTTTGTCCAATAGATCAGATGCTATGTTTCTTGATTGTGCCTTCTTTTCTATGTCCTGAGAAGATCTGGTTTTGACACTAGATAAAACTGTTTTTGATTGAAATAATTCTTTTTTATGAGACCTTTTCCTGATTGTAAACTATGCTTTCTTTCACAGTGTCCTGGGTATTACTGGATGATTTCTAATAAGAGATCGCACAAAGTTAGTGAGCATTACATTTGGTTTACCCCAGGTTACATTTAGTGCAACCAAGGGTCCTTGCACACACTGTGAACAAGTACACACTTATAACTGTTGCACCTTGAATTTTTGTTGTTTCAAAAAGTTCCAGGAACAAACAAAACAAAACTCACTGGATCCAGAGATGCCCTCTGAATTGGAGATTAATTTGGCAAACTCCCCACATTACCATACAAAAAAATCCCACCCAAGGAGGAGTTTATCTGCCGCTGTCTATGCATGTGATGTATGAAGAAGCATGATCGATGACTTTACCTCTGCATACGATGACTCAGCTAAGCACCTCAATACAAGCCCTGTTTTCAGCTTTGTTCTAGGAGGAACTGCTTTGGGAATTATCCCCAATATTCTCCTTACTTGTTGCAAGTAATGAAATCCCCTTGTTAAATTTTCCTTGGGTGTGGTCGTTGGACTGTCACTGGTAAAGCGACTGAACTCACCCATTGTGTGGGTAACAGCGGCAGTCATATTTGAGGCTCTATTACTTTTCACTGTTCCACTGCTGGTGTTTATAGGCTGAGGCTCTGTGGCTTTTGGAATAGTAATTGAAAATTTCTTTGTTGTTGCAAAACTCTCATCTTTGACTTGTAGAGGTTTTCTAAATGAATTAATCTTAGACTGAACAATTTGGTCACAAGAGTCCATCACAGACTTCCTGGGTGTGTCAGCCTCTTGCTTTTGTTTTTCTTCAATTATTTGTTTCTGTTTACTATTATTGTTAAGGTGAAATGTCTTACATTAATGCCATACGTTGATGTTGGGGGTCATCTTCAGTTGGTAACAACTTCAGAGTTTATTATCCTCAAATTTATGTGTGACAATTACTGTAGTTGAATTGGTCAGTTCATTAGAAGGTTTTAAAGGAATGCAATTTTTACCACCATTGTATTATTTTTGCTCCTCATGAATCTGTTGACATTTTCTTTATCAGCCATTTCTGATTTAAGTTTCAAAATATTTGTCTTTTCTTGGAACTGGTCCTCAAATGTCACCACTCTGGTCTCTATTGACATTACACAGCTATGGTAGCCAACTTAGATTCCAGCCCAGATCCTTATCATTCTTAAATGCAAAAAGCCTGAACACTATCTGATTTTCTGATTTTCATGTTTGTAGGCAAAAAATGTTTTTCTTCTTAACAGAAGACTCTTGAGTCTTTGGCTTACTTGTTCTTTGAATATGAATTGGGCTTCAGGGGCCACTGCAAGTCCCAAAACATGGCTTGGGTATTTTTCACAGGCTGAGGTGAGGGGATCCATCTTCAGCTTTGACTCCTTCAGGCCAGAGCCAGTGAACACTGCCTATTTGTTTTTCTTGTGTAGTGAAAATCACAATTGAATACTGTGTGGCACCCATTTTGCTTTGATTCACACCATTTCCTTAGTGCCACTCAGCAGTTAGTGAAATGATCTTTGGTATTGCACAAAATATGAAATGCTTCAAGAATTTGCATGTCATCCTTGCTCACAGCCCATGCTAATCTTCTCTGTATTGTTTCAATCTTCGCATATGTACTGCTGAAGCGAGGACTAAATAATTATTAATTAATATGTATGACACTCCTTCATCTCATCCTTGCATTTCAGTCTCTCCCTCCCTTTTCTTTTTTTTTTTTTTTTTTTCTTGTTCTTTTTGATTATCCCAAGGATGATGATGATAACAGCACTGACTCAGTGATGGGCTAGGTGAGGGTCAGGGCTGTTTGTTGCACACATTTGTGAGATGTCAATGAAAAAACTGTTCCTGGACCAAACTGAGGGCTGGGCTGCTATTTCTCGTGGCCCAATAATGAGATGCAGATGAACTGGGGAGGAAGAGAATTTTATTTCTGTAACCTGTTACAGGGAGAAGGCCTGGAAATTATCACTAGACCAACTCAAAATTACAGAGTTTTCCAGAGCTTATATACCTTCTAAGCTATATGTCAGTGTCAGTGTGCATTCATCTAAAGACATAAGTGATTAACTTATTTTAATCCATAACTAAGGTGTGAGTCCTGAAGACCTTCCTCTGAAGCCTCAGTATATTTACTTAATTTAAATGGGTCCAGGTCTTGGGGTGATTACCCTTATCTTGTTCACGGAGGTTTGGGGAGTTCTTTAAGACCTCCAGAAAACTTGTTTGTGGAGGCCTGCAGAGTGTCTTCAGACCCACAATAAAACTTGTTTAGTCCTAAATGGGTCCTGTTAAGAATTCCTTCATTATTTTGTCATGCTTTAAGGCCCAAGAAAGGTGTAGGCAAAACTCTTGATGGGCTTTTGTTACATTCCAGCCTTTTTTTAGTTTTTAATATTTCATGAAACCACTCAGTCAGTACTGAAACAGTTCTGATAGGGGCCTGCATTAGTGAGACATGGCCTGCCACAAAACCACTAGTGGGAAGTCAAAGTCATATAATGTCAAAATAACAGTCAAAAATTCTTACTTCAGGATACATATTTCTTACTTCCATGCCTCATTTAAGCTGTTGTATCTAGTCCTAGCCCTACACCTGTCCTTCAGGACTCCCTCTGCTCAGTACTCACCCACTTTGGGAAGTTTCCCTTGACCTCTACAATCACTATCATGATTATAGTCTTCAATGGTCCCTTAGTACTCTATTTTTTAGATAGTGTCTCACTCTGTTGTCCAGGCTGGAGTCCAATGGCGTGATCTCAGATCACTGCAATGTTTGCCTCCCAGGTTCAAGCGATTCTCCTGCCTCAGCCTCCCAAGTAGCTGGGATTACAGATGCATGCTACCATGCCTGGCTAATTTTTGTATTTTCAGTAGACACAGGGTTTCACCATGTTGGCCAGGCTGGTCTCAAACTCCTGACCTCAAGTGATCCACCTGCCTCAGCCTCCCAAAATGCTGGGATTACAGGCATGACCACTGCCTGGCCCAGTCTGTACTTCAGATATCTTATTCAAATTATTATGTGTTGACTTTTGAAGTAGGAATTGAGTTTCATTCATCTTTGTAACCCCAGATCTTAGCCAAGGGAATGGCATATAGGAGACATTTGATAAATGTTTGCAGAATTTATATATAGACCGAAGTCAGAAGGAACCTACTATGGTTTGAATATTTGTCTCCCTCTAAAATTCATATGTTGGCACTTAAACCACAAGGTGATGATATGAAAAGATAAAGGCTTTAGGAGATGATTAGGGCCCTTTAGAACCTTTCAGATCAATGCCCTTATAGGAGGGCTGAAGAGAATTAGCCAGTTCCTTTTTGTCTTTCTGTTTCTTCTGCCACCTGAGGACACAGCAGTCCTTCCCTCCAGAGGATGCAGCAGCAAGGCACCATCCTGGAAGCAGAGACCAGGCCCTCACCAGATATCACACCTGCTGACTCCTTGATCTTAGACCTTATAGCCTCCAGAACTGTGAGAAATAAATTTCTATTGTTTATAGATTACCCAGTCTCAGATACTCTGTTATAGCAGTACAAATGGACTAGGGCAGAACCTTAGAAGGCATTCTACTCAACATAGAACAACATTCTGATAGTCATCCAGTCTCTGGTTAAACATTGGTAACAATGGTGCCACTGGAAAAATTCATTCAAACATGGCTGCTGGTGCTGCAACACATTTGCAATCTCTAACTGCAACTAGCTCCTAAAAGGTGCCCCGTAATGCACTATTAGTGGCTCTCAATTTCCGTAGCTGCTACTTCACATTTATTACCTTGTCCTCAATAGTTATTCTAAAGTGAATCTGGAAAATAAACAGTAAAAACTAAAACAAACAAAACCTTCTTATGAGAAGAGTATGTCATAGACATTATCTCTCGGCAATTAATGTACATTATAAAAATGTTTTAAGATCACAACAGCATGGTATTAGCACAAGAATAGATAGATAAATGAACAGAACACAGAGTCCATGAAAAAGCTTAAGTATATACAAAAATTTAATTTATTTTAATGAGACTATTTCCTATCAGTAAACGGTAGTCTAATTTTTAAAAAAATAAATGATGTTGAAACAACTGAATAGTTGTGAACAAAGTCAGGTAACATTTCTATTATATGACATAGACCAAAGTAAACTCTAGATTATTAAATGGAAAAATCAATACCGTAAAAATATGAGAAGAAAATATAGATAAATATGTATATAATCTAGGAAAAAATGAGGTCTTTTTTTTTTTTTTTTTGAGACGGAGTTTCGCTCTTGTTACCCAGGCTGGAGTGCAATGGCGCGGCTCACTGCAACCTCCACCTCCTGGGTTCAGGCAATTCACCTGCCTCAGCCTCCTGAGTAGCCGGGATTACAGGCACGCGCCACCACGCCCAGCTAATTTTTTGTATTTTTAATAGAGACAGGGTTTCACCATGTTGACCAGGATGGTCTCAATCTCTTGACCTCGTGATCCACCCGCCTCGGCCTCCCAAAGTGCTGGGATTACAGGCTTGAGCCACCGTGCCCGGCAAAAAAAAAAAAATGAGGTCTTTTTATGCCATAACACTGGTTGTCGAGACGTAAAAGATTAAGAGATTTTACGTTAAAATTTTTATCTTTTTTCTATTTATTTGTTTATTTATTTTGAGACAGAGTCTCACTCTGTCACCCAGGCTGGAGTGCAGTGGCCTGATCTTGGCTCACTGCAACCTCTACCTCCCAGATTCAAGTGATTCTCTTGCCTCAGTCTCCCAAATAGCTGGGATAACAGGCACATGCCACCGTGCCCTGCTAATTTTTATATTTTTAGTAGAGATGGGATTTTACCATGTTGGCCACACTGGTCTTGAACTCCTAACCTCAAATAATCCACCTGCCTCGGCCTCCCAAAGTGCTGGGATTATGAGCCACCATGCCCAGCAAAAATTTTAAACTTTTTATGCAAAAATGAAAATCACAATAATGGTGAAGTTCAAGTGAAAAGTTGAGAAAGGAAGGATAACAGAAAATAACATATAGCTAAAAGATTGTTAGTATTAATGAAAAGAATAAAAAAATTGATTTAAAAAAGCCAATTTACCAAAAAGAAAGAAATTTAAATAGCTAATAAATCTATGAAGGATTATTTATATTCATAGTAGTTAAATAAATGCAATTTAAAACAATAAGATGCTGACCAAGTACAGTGCTGTGCACATATATTCCCAGCTACTCAGGAGTCTCAGGAGGGCAAATGGCTTAAGCTCAGGGGTTTGAGGCCAGTCTGGGCAGCATGGTGAGACTCTGTCTCTAAAAAATAAAAAGAGGCCAGGCATGGATGTTCATGCCTATAATCTCAGCACTTTGGGAGGCCAAGGCAGGAGGATCGCTTGAGGCCAAGAGTTCTAGACCAACCTGGGCAACATAGTGAGATCCCATCTCTACAGATAAAAAATTGGACGAGATAGTGGCACATGCCTATAGTCCCAGCTACTCAGGAGGCAGAAGATTTCCTGAGCCCTTCAGCTGCAGTGAGCCATGATCTTACCACTACACTCCATGACTTGGGGGATAGAGTGAAACTCCATCTCAAAAAATAAAAAGAATTCAAACAATAAGGTGCTATTTTATGCCAATCAGATAATTAACATTTTCAAATGCATAAAACTCATTGGTGATGATTATGCAAGGAAATGGGTACTTTCTTATATTTCTGGTAGGACTATAAATTGGTATAACTTTAATGGAAGGCAATTTAATTACTTGTATCTACAGATTAAGAATTGCCTACTATTGGCCAAGCCATTCTGCTTCTAAGAATTTTTCTCAGGAATAGAGTGCAGGGAGTACTTAATCCAGGGCCTGGCAGGCAAGTGTGTTCCCTCCTTTCAGACCAGAGGCTGCCACTGCTCGCATGCTGCACCAGATCCTCGGTAGGGTCAAGAAGCATCCACGCTTGATCCCCTTTGGTATTTATTAAATCTGGAGGTACTAGAGCAGGGCTGAATGTCCAACATCTGGCATTGTTCAATCAAGATGTTAGTTGGGATACAAGACATAAGCCAGAACCCTGGAAGAAACTGGGTCCCAATAATCAATACAAGTTTCACTCAGTGAATATAGATTATAGCAAACTGAAGAAAGAAGGTCCAGACTTCTAAATGGCATGTTTCACCATAAAGCTGCTTACAATGCAGGTCTTCCAGAAGCCTTCCAATTTTCTACTTAACCAGGAAATAGTTCTCCTCTAAATGCATAAAATACCTTGATGTATTGTGTTGGGGATGACACCGATTATATCTGAAACTTGGGAGAAAAAAAATAAAACGTTTCCCAGAAATAACCTTGGACATGTGCAAGGAGTTACTTACTGAAATGTACATTACGGGATTAATTTTAAAAGCTTAAAAGGCAAACAGTCTAGATATCCAACAGTATGGTAACTTACTTTTTTTGTTTTGTTTTGTTTGAGACGGTCTTGCTCTGCCACTCAGGCCAGAGTGCAGTGACGCCATCTCGGCTCATTGCAACCTTCGCCTCCTGGGTTCAAGCAATTTTCAAGCCTTAGCCACCTGAGTAGCTGGGATTACAGGTGTGCACCACCAGGCCCGGCAAATTTTTGTATTTTTAGTAGAGACGGGATTTTGCTATGTTGGCCAGGCTGGTTTTGAACTCCTGACCTCAAGTGATCCACCTGTCCTGGTCTCCCAAAGTGGGATTACAGGCATGAGCCACTGCACCCAGCCCATAGTATATTTTTAAGTGAAAAGCATACTGCATTCCATTTTTAAATGGGCAAATGACTTGAATAGACATTTCTCCAAAAAAGATATTGAAATTGCCAACAAGGACATGATAATGATGTTGAGTAGGGAATGCAATTCAAAACTACAATGCAATACCACTGTACTCACACCCACTAGAAGAGGTATTTTAAAAAGATGGAAAATAGGCCAGCATGGTGGCTCATGCCTGTAATCCCAACACTTTGAGAGGCCAAGGTGGGAGGACTGCTGGACCCTACGAGTTCAAGGCCAGTAACATGGTGAGACTCCCCCCATCTCTATAATAAATTATTTTAAATTAGCTGGGTGTGGTAGCATGTGCCTGTAGTCCCAGCTACTCAGGAGGCTGAGGATGGAGGAGCCCTTGAGCCAGGGAGGTCAAGACTGCAATGAACCACCATGATCACACCACTGCACTCCAGTCTGGGCAACAGAGACCCCGTCTCCACAAAAAAGGAAAATAACAAGTGTTGACAAGGATGTGGAGGAATTGGAACCCTCTTATATTGCTGGTAGGGATGTAAAATGCTGCAATCACTGTGGAAAATAATTTGGTGGTTCTTCAATAGGTTAAGCACAGAATTACCATATGACCAGCAATTCCATTCATAGGTATATACCAAATGGGTGCTCAATTGCACATGAATATTCATAGCAGCACTATTCACAATAGCAAAGAATGGAAATCACATAAATATCCTTCAGCAGATGAATGGATAAGCAAAATGTGGTATATATCCATAGGATAAAATGACATATTTATTGTTATATCATGCTACAACATATATAAACCCTTATAATATTACGCTAAGTGAAAAAGGCAGACACAAAAAGCCACATATTTCATAATTTTTTTATATGAAATATCCAAAACAGACAAATCCATGGAAATGGAAAAGCATATTAGGGTTAGCAGAAGCTGGGGAAAGGAGAGAATGGGGAGTAACTGCTTAATGGTTATGGAATTTTAAGATGATGAAAATTTTACTGAACTACAGTAGAGAATGCACAACATTGCATTAATCTGTGATGCGGCACAACATTGTAAATGTACTAAATGCCACACTGAATTGTACACTTTAAGATGATAAAATGGTAAATTTTATATTAATTTTACCACAGGGAAAAATAAAAGCATCTTACAAAACAGTAGAGAGCTGGGCACAGTGGCTCATGCCCGTGCAAATCTTAGCACTTTGGGAGGCCGAAGTGGGCAAATCACCTGAGGCCAGGAGTTCAAGACCAGCCTGACCAACACGGTGAAAACCCATCTCTACCAAAAATATAAAAATTAGGCGACACGCCTGTAATCTCAGCTACTTGGGAGACTGAGGCAGGAGAATTGCTTGAACCTGGGAGGCAAAGGTTGGAGTGAGCTGAGATTGTGCCACTGCACTCCAGCCTGGGCAACAGAGTGAGACCCTGTCTCAAAAATAAGTAAATAGTAGAAATAGTTGGTCTTGTTGTTCTAGAAGTACATGCACAGAAAAAAAAGGTGTGGAAAGATAAATATCAAATTACTCTAGTTGTCCATGGGTGGTCATTTAAACTAATATTCTAATTCTTCTACATCAATCCTGAATTACTTGAGTCCTTTTAAAACATGCTGTAGAATAGTATCTAATAAAATAGGGGAAATGGCCATCATATATTTGTATATTATTAAACCAAAACACTATATTTGAATGATCCCAATTTTATTGCAAAAATACACATACTGAATAGAAAAAAACCTACTGAAAGAATATATACCAATATGTTACTACTGATTATGTTTCAAAGGAGTGATCATAGGTGAATTTTATTTACTTGTTTAAAAAGTATATTTTCAAAAATTTTCTAGTGAATATGTTACTTTTTTTGTCGTTTCGTTTTAATTTTTATATTTTCTTTTATTTGTGTGTGTGTGTGTAAAAAGGGATCACTTAGTCACCCAGGTTCTGGAGCACAGTGGCACAGTCACAGCTCACTGCAGCCTTGACCTCAGGGCTCAGGTGACTCTCCAACCTCAGCCTCTTGGGTAGCCAGGACAACAGGCATACGCCACCATGCCCAGCTAATTTTTTGTATTTTTAGTAGAGATGGGATTTCACCATGTTGTTCAGTCTGGTCTCGAACTCCTGGCCTCAAGCAATCCACCCACCTCAGCCTCTCTAACTGCTGGGATTATAGGCATGAGCCACTGTACCTGGCCCTGTGTTACTTTCATAATCTGAGTTTTAAATATTTTTCTTTGCGTTTGTTTGTTTTTCTTGTTTTTTTTGAGATGGAGTTTTGCTTTTGTTGCTCAGTGTTGATACAATGCCAGTTTACTGCAACCTCCTCCTCCTGTGTTTAAGTGATTCTCCTGCCTCAGCTTCCCAAGTAGCTGGGATTACAGGTACCCACCACCATGCCTAGCTAATTTTTTTTTTTTTTGAGACGGAGTTTCACTCTTGTTACCCAGGCTGGAGTACAATGGCACGATCTTGGCTCACCGCAACCTCCGCCTCCTGGGTTCAAGCAATTCTCCTGCCTCAGCCTCCCGAGTAGCTGGGACTACAGGTGCGCGCCACCAGGCCCAGCTAATTTTTGTATTTTTAGTAGAGACGGGGTTTCACCTTGTTGACCAGGATGGTCTCGATCTCTTGACATCGTGATCCACCCGCCTCGGCCTCCCAAAGTGCTGGGATTATAGGCGTGAGCCACCGCGCCCGGCCTTAATTTTTGTTTTTTTAGTAGAGGCGAGGTTTCATCATATTGGCCAGGATGGTCTTGAACTCCTGACCTCAGGTGATCTACCCACCTCAGCCTCCCAAACTGCTGGAATTACGGCCGTGAGCCACCACACCCGGCCGAGTTTTAAATATTTTTTTAAATATATTAATCTGAGTTTAAAATATTTTTTTAAAAGATTCTCATATATATATATATATATATATATATATATATATATATATATTGAGCTCAATATTATCAATATATTGAGCCAAAAATTCTCTTTCTTTTTCTTTTGAGACAGAGTCTCTCTCTGTCACCCAGGCTGGAGTGCAGTGGCACAATCTCGACTCACTGCAACCTCCACCTCCCAGGTTCAAGCAGTCCTCCTGTCTCAACCCCCCAAGTAGCTGGGTTTACAGGTGAGCATCACTGCACCTGGCTAATTTTTGTATTTTTAGTAGAGATGGGTTTTCACCACGTTGGCCAGGATGACATCGAACTCCTGACCTCAAGGGATCCATCTGCCTCAGCCTCCAAAACTGCTGGGATTACAGGCGTGAGCCACTGTGCCTAGCCCAAAAATTCTTCTTAGGGGTTAAATGAAAACTTTAGTTGAGGTAAAGTTGAAAGAGTTTTAAAGATAAATAACTAAACTATTTAGAAATTATTAAAATGAAGGATGAAGAGTGAGGAGGAGGATGTTCAGAGAGACCAGTAAACATGTGCTTAGACATGTTTTAAAAATCTGAGCTGGGCATATGGCTCACACCTGTAATCTCAACTACTTGAGAGGCTAAGGCAGGAGGATCCATCAAGGCCAGTAGTTCAAGATGAGTGTGGGCAACACAGTAAGAACTCCTCCCCGTGACAACATCTCTAAAAAATAAAGAAAACAATAAGATGCTGACCAAGTGTGGTGTTGTCCATATATAACCCCAGCTACTCAGGAGTCTGAGGAGAGAAGATCACTTGAGCCCAGGAGTTCAAGGCCAGCCTGGGCAACATGGTGAGACTCTGCCTCTAAAGAATAAAATAGGCCAGGCATGGTGGTTCAAAGGGCTAGGGCAAAAAAAGAAAGTTAAAAAAAAAAAACTTCTTGCATAGTTGTCTAGCAGAGTCAAAGATATTATTATTGTAGGAGAGAAGTATCTTTTGCTTTAAAGACAGAGTCTCCCTTTGTCACCCAGGCTGGAGTCCAGTGGCAAAATCATAGCCCACTGCAGCCTTGATCTCCTGGCCTCAAGAGTTCCTCTTGCCTGGATCCTCCCTCTTAGGCCTTCCAAGTAGCTGATTCTACAGGTGCCAAACACCATGTCTAGCTGAGGAGTATCTTTCAAAAATGGAAAAGAATGAGGACACCACAAAATTGTAATAGGAGGTACAGACTAAAAGTTGCTTTTGCGATAACGTTGCTTTTGCAAGACACAGAGCCAAGGAGTTTAAAAATAACTCAGAAAAGGAATAAGAAAGCTGTTGTCCAAATTTGTGGCCTCTGATTTTGGCTGGCCACTGGGTTGCAGGAAAAATGAGCTGCAAGTGTGGTTTGTGTTCATGAAAAGGCCTTCAGAAAGGACCTTAGGTAATAACAGTTATGCACAATCATGTAGTATATATAATAGTAATAAAGATACTCTCATTGTTAATATCAATATTTACATAGACCTTTGTTATGCTTAGTATTATATATATTTGGCACTGTCCTAAGCATTTTAGTGTTTGAACTCATTTTGTCTTCACAGTACCCCTAAGAAGCAAGCACTGTTATCAGCTCTGTTTCACAGATAAGAAAAATGAAGCACAGGAAGGTTGAGTAATGTCTCAGATTTCTAATGTCACATAGCTAGTAAGTGACAGAGCCAATTTGTATCCAGGTTACTTTACTCTGGAATTCATGCTGTTAACCACTGTATTATACTGCCTTTACAGCCAAAATATCCCCTCAGGCAGTAGTTCACAAAGTGTATTCCTTTCAAGAAGTCTAGGAAGTCAAAATTATTTTCATAATAATGCGAAGATTTTCTTTCTTTTTTTTTTTCCTTTTTTTTCAGAATCTTGCTCTGTTGCTTAGGCTAGAGTGCAGTGGTGCAATCTCCACCTCCCAGATTCAAGTGATTCTCATGGCTCAGCCTCCTGAGCAGCTGGGAGTACAGGCATGTGCTACCACACCCAGCTAATTTTCATATTTTTTTGGTAGAGACAGGCTTTTCCATGTTGGCCAGGTTGGTCTCAAGTTCCTGGTCTCAAGTGATCTGCCTGCCTTGGTCTCCCAAAGTGCTGGGATTACAAGTGTGAGCCATGGTGCCCTGCCTAATATCAAATTTATTTGTTTGTTTTGCCTGTTTTGCTTTCATTCTGAATATGCAGAGGAGTTTTCCACAGGGTACAAGACATGTAATAGCATCGTCACTCTAAGAGCTAACAGAAAATGTGCTTGTATAGTCTTGTATTTTCTAGAAGGTGGATGATAATAAACTTCTGGGAGTTAAAAGAACTTGTTCTAACCCAATGTAAAAAAACTAAGAACTCTGAAAAAAGGTTTGACAAAATGCTAACAAGAATAGACAATATAGAGAGGAATATAAATGAACTAACGGAGTTGAAAAACACAACACGAGAACTTAGCAAAATATGCAAAAGTTTGAATAGCCGAATTGATCAAGCAGAAGAAAGGATATCAGAGGTCGAAGACCAACTTAATGAAATAAAACGAGAAGACAAGAATAGAGAAAAAAGGATAAAAAGAAATAAGCAAAGTCTCCAAGAAATATGGGACTATGTGAAAAGAACTAATTTACATTTGATAGGTGTACCTGAATGTGACAGAGAGAATGAATCCAAGCTGGAAAATACTCTCCAGGATATTATTCAGGAAAACTTTCCCAATCTAGCAAAGCAGGACAATATTCAATCCCTGGTAATACAGAGAACACCACAAAGATATTCCTCAAGAAGAGCAACCACAAGGCACATAATTGTCAGATTCACCAGGGTTGAAATGAGGGAGAAAATACTAAGGGCAGCCAGAGAGAAAGGTCAGGTTACCCACAAAGGGAAGCCTATTAGACTTACAGCAGATCTCTCAGCAGAAACCCTACAAACCAGAAGAGAGTGGGGGCCAATATTCAACATCCTTAAAGAACAGAACTTTCAGCCCAAAATTTCATATCCTGCCAAACTAAGCTTCACAATTGAAGGAAAAATAAAATCTTTTATGAACAAGCAAGTACTCAGAGAGTTTATTACCACCAGGCCTGCTTTGCAAGAGCTTCTAAAAGAAGCATTATACATAGAAAGGAACAACCAGTATTAGCCTTTCTAAAAATATACCAAAAAGTAAACAGCATCAACATAAAGAAGAATTTATATCAATGAATGGATAAAACAGCCAGTTAACATCAAATGGCAGTAATCCTAAATTTAAGTCGACTAAATCCCCCAATCAAAAGATACAGCCAAAACCTAATGATATGCTGCATCCAGACCCATTTCACATCCAAAGATACACAAAGACTCAAAACAAAGGGATGGAGAAAGACTTACCAACCAAATGGAGAGCAAAAATAAATAAATAAATACATAAATAAATAAATAAAAAGCAAGAGTTACAATTCTCGCATCTGATAAAATAGATTTCAAAGCAACAAAGACATAGTGGTAAAAGGATCAATGCAACAATAAGAGCTAACGATCCTAACACCCAGATACATAAGACCCATAAAGAGATTTAGACTCAACAAGACAGAAAATTGATGAGGACAACCAGGACTTGAACTCAGATCCGGAACAAGTAAACTTAATAAATATTTATAGAGCTCTCCATTTTAAATACACAAAGTATACATTCTCCACTTTAAATACACAAAATATTGATTGGCCATTATTAATAATACCCATTTTTAGAATAAAGCAATATTCCCGTTTTCTCTCCCTCTTTTTCTTCCTCTTTCTTCCTCTCCTTCACTCCTTTTTTTCTCTTTAAAAAAAAAAAAAAGAAGAAAAGAAAAAAAAATACAAAACTTAGCCAGGCGTAGTGGCGTGCCTCTGTAGTCCCAGCTACTCAGGAGGCTGAGGCAAGAGGATCACCTGAACCCAGGAGGCGGAGGTTGCAGTGAGCTGAGATTGCACCATTGCACTCCAGCCTAGGAAACAGGAGAAAAATAGGCAGAGGACCTGAATAGACGTTTCTCAAAAGAAGACCTACAAATTGTCAACAGGTATATGAAAAAATGCTCACTGGCCAGACGTGGTGGCTCACACCTGTAATCCCAGCACTTTGGGAGGCTGAGGCAGGTGGATCACGAGGTCAGAAGTTAGAGACCATGCTGGCTAACACAGTGAAACCCCATCTCTATTAAAAATACAAAAAATTAGCTGGGCATGGTGGCATATATCTGTACTCCCAGCTACTCAGGAGGCTGAGGCAGGAGAATCTCTTGGACCTGGGAGGTGGAGGTTGCAGTTAGCCAAGATTGTGCCACTGCATTCCAGGCTGGGCGACAAAGCGAGACTCCATCTCAAAAAAAAAAAAATGCTCAACATCCCATTAGTCAGTGGGGAAATGCAAATTAAAACCACAGAAATTGCTATCACCTCACACCTGTTAAAATTGCTGTTATCAAAGACAAAGGTGTTGGTGAGAATGTGAAGAGATAATAACCATTGCACACTGTTGGTGGAAATGTAAATTAATACAGCCATTATAGAGAAGAGTATGTAGGTCTGTATTAGTCCTTTCTCCCACTGCTATAAAGAAGTACCTGAGACTGGGTAATTTATAAAGAAAACAGATTTAGTTGACTCACGGTTCGGCAGGCTGTACAAGAAGCATGGCTGGGGAAGCCTCAGGAAACTTACAATCATGGTAGAAGGTGAAGGGGAAGCAAGCATGCTGGAGAAAGAGAAAGAAAGTGAAGGAGGACATGCTACACACTTTTAAACAACCAGATCTCGCAAAAACTCACTATCACAAGAACTGCAAGAGGGAAATCCACCCCCATGATCAATCACCTCCCACCAGGCCCATCCTCCAACACTGAAGTTTACAATCCCATATGAGATTTAGGTGGGAACACAGACCCAAACCATATCAAGGTCCCTCAAAAATGTAAAAATACAATTACCGTATATTCCAGCAATTCCTCTTCTGGGTATAAATTCAAAAGAATTGAAATCAGGATATCAAAGAGATATTTGTGTGCACCTGTGTTCATGGTAGTACCACTCACATGGAAGTAACCAAGTGCTATCCATGGATTAATGGATAAACAAAATGTGGTGTATATATACAACTGAATACTACCGAGCCATTAAAAAGCAGGAAATCCTGTCATTTGAAAAACATGGATGAACCTGGAGGATATGATGTTAAGTTAAATAGGCCAGGCACAGAAAGACAAATCTCACATGATCTCATGCATGTGGGGAATCTTAAAAACATTAAACTCATGGAAGTAGAGAGTAGAATGGTGGATACCAAGGGCTAGTGCTATGGTAGAAAGGGAGCTAGGGAGATGTTTGTCAAAGGATACAAAATTTCAGTTAGGAGAAATAAGTTCAAATATCTATTGTACAGCATGGTGACTACAGTTGATAACAATACATTGTATTCTTGAAACATTTTAAGGGAGTTAATTTCAAGTGTTCTCACCACAAAATGACAACTATGTGAGAAATTCCAGGTTAATTAGCTTGATTTAGCCATTCCACTATATATATATCGTGTTGTACATATACAATGTTATCTGTCAATTTAAAAAAAACACTGTTTTTTTTCTATCATGGTATTGCCTCTTTTATTTGCTCTCCTTCTATGTCAGTGGGAGTTAGGTCTAATCATATATAATGGAAAACCCAAATTTAAGCAGCATATATAAAATAGGATTTGTTTTCTTCTATATGAAAGAAGTGGCCGGGCGCAGTGGCTCACGCCTGTAATCCCAGCACTTTGGGAGGCCAAGGCGGGTGGATCACCAGGTCAAGAGATAGAGACCATCCTGGCCAACATGGTGAAACCCCATCTCTACTAAAAATGCAAAAAAAATTAGCTGGGCGTGGTGGCACACCCCTGTAGTCCCAGCTACTCAGGAGGCTGAGGCAGGAGAATTGCTTGAACCCAAGAGGCGGAGGTTGCAGTGAGCCGAGGTTTCACCACTGCACTCCAGCCTGGCGCCTGGTGACAGAGTGAGACTCTGTCTCAAAAAAAAAAAAAAAAAAAAGTCCAGAAGTAGATATAGTTCCAGATAGTCACTAGGGACCCAGGCTCCTTCTGTCTTCCTGCTCTGCCATTCTTAGGGCAAAACTTCCATCCTCAAGGTCACTCATGACCCAGCATGGCAATTCTAACTGCAGTCTTCATTTTATCTTAGTTCCAGAGAGGAAAAAGGAGAAAGTAGGGGGCAGGGAGTGCCAAAGGAAATAAATCCCCAGCTTTTTTCCACACCATTGCCCTAAAAATATTTTTATTAATTACCTTCATTTCCCTGTATTTCATATTAAATGTTCTGTTCTCATCTGAACTCTCAGCGACATGTGATATACTTGACCTCACCACACTTTTTGAAAGAATGCTTTCATCTGGTATCAGAGACTCCACATTCTTCTTGTTTCTTTGTACTTCATTGGCTACTTCTTCTTAGTCTTCTTTGTTGGATCCTCCTTGTCTTCCCAATTTAAATATCAATTGCCTCTGGCTTCATTTCTTGCTCCTCTCTTTTATATACACTGTTTCCCTAATGATCTCATCCAGGCCCATGATGTTAAATACTTATGTTGCTGCCTTTCCTCGCCGCCTGCCAAGGGCTCCAGATGGCATTGTTCTGGATTGCTCTTTTCTTTCAGATTCCCATCATAAAGGGAAACTTTCACAATGTCCAGAGCCTTTGATGTCCTGCAAATGAAGGAGGAGGATGTCCTTAAGTTCCTGGCAGGCAGCAGAAACCCATTTAGGTGGCACCAACCTTGACTTCCAGATGGAACAGTATATCTACAAAAAGAAAAGTGATGGCATCTACATCATAAATCTGAAGAGGACCTGGGAGAAGCTTCTCCTGGCAGCTGGTGCCATTGTTGCCATTGAAAACCCTACTGATGTCAGTGTTATATCCTCCAGGAATACTGGCCAGAGGGCCGTGCTGAAGTTTGCTGCTGCCACTGGAGCCACTCCAATTGCTGGCCACTTCACTCCTGGAACCTTCACCAACCAGATCCAGGCAGCCTTCCAGGAGCCACGGCTACTTGTGGTTACAGACCCAGGGGCTGACTACCAGCCTCTCACGGAGGCATCTTATGTTAACCTACCTACCATTGCTCTGTGTAACACAGATTCTCCTCTACGCTATGTGGACATTGCCATCCCATGCAACAACAAGGGAGCTCACTCAGTGGGTTTGATGTGGATGCTTGGCACATGCATGGCACCATTTCTTGTAAACACCCATGGGAGGTCATGCCTCATCTCTACTTCTACAAAAATCCTGAAGAGATTAAAAAAGAAGAGCAGGCTGCTGCTGAAAAGGCTGTGACCAAGGAGGAATTTCAGGGCGAATGGACTGCTCCAGCTCCTGAGTTCACTGCTACTCAGCCTGAGGTTGCTGACTGGTCTGAAGGTGTGCCAGTACCCTCTGTGCCTATCCAGCAGTTCCCTACTGAAGACTGGAGCACACAGCCTGCCACGGAAGACTGGTCTGCAGCTCCCACTGCTCAGGCCACTGAATGGGTAGGAGCAACCACTGAATGGTCTTAAGCTGTTCTTGCATGGGCTCGTAAGCAACATGGAAATAAGATTGATGGAAAATAAACATTGAGTTTCTAAAAAAAGAAAAAAAATACTTATGTTGCTGATTTTATAAGTCTGCGGGTCCAGACTTCTGTACTGAACTGCAGACACATGTGTCATCTCTACTTGGGTATCTTATAGGGGTCTCCAGAAACATAACATGACCAGAACAGAACTTTTCTTTTTTTTTTTTGACATGGAGTCTCACTCTGTCACTCAGGCTGGAGTACAGTGGCATGATCTCAGCTCACTGCAACCTCTGCCTCCCAGGTTCAAGTGATTCTCCTGTCAGCCTCCTGAGTAGCTGGGATTACTGGTGCACCACCATGCCCAGCTAATTTTTGTATGTTTAGTAGAGATGGGATTTCACCATGTTGGCAGGCTAGTCTTGAACTCCTGACCTCAGGTGATCCACCCGCCTTGACCTTCCAAATTGCTAGGATTACTGGCATGAGCCGCCACACCCACCCCAAAAACAGAACTTTACATTTCCATCCTAAAAATAAAAATTAAAAATTCCATTTTATTTTTTCCCATCTCAGTAAATGACCCACGATTCATTACAGTTACTGTGGCCAAAACCTGGAAATCACATTTGATTATTTTCCTCCCTTTCCTGTCCTCTTTATGTCCAAAATATATCCCTAGCCCAACAACTCTTATACCTCGAATGTTCTTGCCCACATCATTGCTGTGTTTTGTCTGGTTTATTTTAACAACCTCCTAATATTTTTCTTCCAGTTTGTTTCCACTAATGGTCAGCATTAATAGTTACAAGAAACAAACACTAACTGGCTAATTTAAGCAGAAAAAGAGATAAAGCTGGGTGTGGTGGCTCACAACTGTAATCTCAACAGTTAGGGAGGCCAATGCAGGAGGATCACTTGAGTCCAGGAGTAGTTCAAGACCAGTCTGGGCAACATAGTGAGACCCCCATCTCTACAAAAAGTTTAAAAAATTAGTCAGGTGTGGTAGTGCATGCCTGTAGCCCCAGCTACTTGGGAAGCTGAGGTGGGAGGATCGTTTGAGTCCAGGGGCGTGAAGCTACAGTGAGCCATAATTGTGCCACTGTACTCCATCCTGGGCAACAGAGGGAGACCCTGTCTAAAAAAAAAATTTTTTTTTGGAGGAATACTGGCAAGGAATTTGGGGACAAACTGTGTATAGCATTGGTAAAGTGTATAGTAGGATGCAGCAGATGAAATAATTGAGTATTATACAGTTGTTAGAAGCAAGTATTGGAGGTACTTGACACAGCCTCCATAGACACCATCCACAGGTCTAGGATGTTGCCACTAGTTTTACTGTGAAGCAAAAAGCAACAACTGTTCCAAAGCAAACCTGCAGAAAGGGTAAAGTAGAATTTTAAGAAACCTTTCTGGGCTGGGCATGGTGGCTCAGGCCTGTAATCCCAGCATTTTGGGAGGCTGAGTCAGGCAGATCACCTGAGGTTGCGAGTTCGAGACCAGCCTGACCAACATGGAGAAACCCTGTCTCTACTACAAATACAAAATTAGCCAGGCATGGTGGCACATGCCTGTAATCCCAGCTACTCGGGAGGCTGAGGCAGGAGAATTGCTTGAACACCAGAGGCAGAGGTTGCAGTTAGCCGAGATCAAACCATTGCACTCCAGCCTGGGCAACAAGAGTGAGACTCTGTCTTTAAAAAAAAAAAAAAAGAAGAATGCTTTCTTCACTCTGACTTCCACCCTCTGCCCAGACCTTAGTCTTCCCTACTTTCCCCTGCTCTCCCCACTCCCATCTTCTCCCACCCCTTTTCACACATTTTAGTGCAAGACAGACTCTAGTTTTCCCTAGGGTTTCCTACAGAGGTGGTGGTAATGTTGGTTAATTCCTGGAGCCTGTGCTTACCTCTTAATTTGTATTTTCTGCAGGGCTGATTTCAGAAGAAGGAGCCAACAACCTGAGTTCCCTTGTCATCTTAGCAGTCACAGGTGTGTTCCGATTCTTCGCAAGTGCCTGCAGTCATTGGAGGATGCATTGTTACTGAAAGGAGGGGTCAGCCTGGAGATATTTTTAAACCCAAATTGCACAACTTATAGAAAGCTGATTGCTGCCACCGGTGCAATAATTGCAACCCTGGGAAGGGATCTAGAATGCATCATGGATTAAGAGTCATCTTAATTAACAAATACAGTTGCTTGGCTAGTTATTTTAAGTCTCGTTGTATGCACTAGAAATAAAAATGGGGGAAAAAAGCTGTCTCTGCCCTCTAGTGGAAAAGGAGAGTAATTATAATTATAATATTGGAAATTTAGATAATTGCTTTAATAGAAGTATCCAATAACAAATTTATGAGGAGTATGGATGCTTAGCAAAAGGATGTCTTCACAGGAAAGTAGCATTTCAGCAGAAAACTTGAAGAATGTATAGAAATTTTCAAAGAAAGCAAATAGAAGGAAAATGTTACAGGTAGAGTACAATATGATGCAAAGAAAAAAGGTTTGAGGAAATACAGCGTATTTTGGGAAATACAAATAGATCAGTGTTTCTGGAGCATAAACACTGAGAAAGGTACGAGAGATGAGATGAATGAGTAGGTAATCCTAAGGAATTTAGGCTTTATCCTATAAGTCAATGTTATCAACTTTAAATAAAATTTTAAGAACAGATTAATTTTAAAAATTATATGATAAACCACAATTGAAAAATAAAAGCTAAAACATATTTGTTTTATATTTGTAGAAACTCAGCCTCCCAGGTTCTAGCGATTCTCCTGTCTCATCCTCTCGAGTAGCTGGGATTACAGGTGTGTGCCACCATGCCCAGCTAATTTTGTATTTTTAGCAGAGACGAGGTTTCACCATGTTGGTCAGGCTGGTCTCAAATTTCCTATCTCAGGTGATCCACCCACCTTGGCCTCCCAAAGTGGTAGGATTACAGGCATGAGCCACCACGCCTGGCCTCTTCTTTCTTTTTTTTAAAAACAGGATCGCACTTTATTGTCCAGGCTGGAGGGCAGGAACATAATTATAGCTCATGGCATCCTTGGACTCCTGGGCTCAAGGGATCCTCCTGATTCAGCCTCCCAAGTAGCTAGTATTATAAGTATGTGTCACCCCACCCAGATAATTTTTTAATGTTTTTGTGGAGATGGGATCTCACTATATTGCCCATTCTGGTCTCAAACTCCTGGTCTCAAGTGATCCTCCTGCTTCAGCTTCTCAAAGGGCTGGGATTATAGACATGGACCACAGCACCTAGCCTAGAAAGTGTTTTCTCTTCTTCAACTTTTCAGGAAAGTTTGAGAAAAAACATTATTAGTTCTTCGTTTTTTTTTTCTTTGAGACGGAGTTTAACTCTTGTTACCCAGGCTGGAGTGCAATGGCGTGATCTCGGCTCACCGAAACCTCCGCCTCCTGGGTTCAGGCAATTCTCCTGCCTCGGCCTCCTGAGTAGCTGGGACTACAGGCACGTGCCATTGTGCCAGCTAACTTTTTGTATATTTAGTAGAGACGGGGTTTCACCATGTTGACCAGGATGGTCTCGATCTCTTGACCCCGTGATCCACCTGCCTTGGCCTCCCAAAGTGCTGGGATTACAGGCATGAGCCACCGCTCCTGGCTGGTTCTTCTTTAAGTACTTGGTAGAATTCAGTAGTGATGCCAGCAGGCCCAGGGCTTTTTTTGTTGTTGTTAAAAGATTTTTTTATTACTGATTCAATCTTTTTACTAGTTATAGTCCTATCCAGATTTTCTATTTCTTTGTGATTTAGCTTGGTAATTGTGTTTCTGGTTTTTATCCATTTCATCTAGGTTATAAAATTTGTTGGTGTACAATTGTTCATAATAGTCGCTTATAATCCTTTTTGTTTTTATAGAATTGGTAGTAATATCTCTGTTTTTATTTCTGATTTTAGTAATGTGAATCCTTTTTCTTAGTCCATCTAGCTAAATGTTTGTCAATTTTGTTGTTATTTTCAAAGAATCAGCTTTTGGTTTCATTGATTCTCTCTATTGTTTTTTAATTCTCCCTTTTGTTTGCTCTAATCTTTACTATTATTTTCCTTCTACTAGTTTTGGGTTTAGTTTGTTCTACTTTTTCTAGTTCCTTAAATTGTATAGTTGTGTTGTTGTTTTGAGAGTTTTTGTTTTTTAACATATTTATAGCTATAAATTTTCACCTTTAGCACTACCTTCTTTGTGTCTCAAAAGCTTTGATATATATATTTTTTGGTTAATCAATGAGAGCTTGTTATGAGTTCAGGTTGGCCTTGAACTCATAGCCTCGCCTCCTCAAGCACCAGGACAACTGGCTGGAGCTACCACAGCTCTTGTATTTTTATTTTCATTTGTCTCTAAGTATCTTCTAATTTCCCTTGTGATTTCTTCATTCAGTATGAAGAATGTTTAAAACTGTGTTATTTAATTTTCACAAACTTGTGAATTTTCCAGTTTTACTTTTATTATTGATTTCTAACTTCATCCTATTGTGGTCAGAGAAGATATATTTTATGCTATCTATCTTTTTACACTGACTGAGACTTCATTTGTGGCCTCCAATATGGTCTGTCCTAGAAAATGTCCTGAGTTCACTTGAGAATAATGTGTATGCTGTTGTCGAGTAGAGTGTTCTGTATATGTCTGTTAGATCTAGTTGGTTTATTGTATTGAGTCCTCTATTTCCTTACTTATCTTCTGTATGGTTGTTCTATCCATTATTGAGGGTGAAATATTGATGTCTCTGTTGCTATAAATATATCTATTTCTCCCTTCAATTCTATCAGTTTTTGCTTCATATATTTTAATGGTTTGTCATTAGGTGCATAAACTTTTACAATTGTTATATCTTCTTGCTGTATTGAACATTTTATTATTATGTCCTTCTTTGTCCCTTATAACTTTTTAAATTTAAACTATACTTTGTATTTTGAAGAGACTAATATCCAGAATCTACAAGAAATTCAAATCTCAACAAGAGAAAAATAATCCCGTTAAAAAGTAGACAAAGGACATGGACAGATATTTCTCAAAAGAAGACATACAAGCTGCCATCAAATATATGGAAAAATGCTCAACAT